TTTTGCACAGTCTGTCTTGTACATATGAGCTATTTCTGGCACTAGAGGGTCATCGGTATTTGGGTCAGTCAACAGGGAATAGATGGACAACAGGACCAAGGCCAGTTTTTTAAGACACAAATCAATTCATGTGTTGATGCATTCATGAGATCAAGGGGCAATTGCAACAACAGAAACAAGAGGGCAACATAAGCATATTCAAATCCTGAAAAGGGATGCTGCCAATATAGCAACATGGATAATGAAGATATCAAACCACCAACCAAATTGTGTTTGACGACCAATTGAAAGGCGCAAGTCCCTATCTCAACATCTAAATTAGCAAAACCTTGGGAACTAAATACTTATGCTGAAGCAACATTAACTCCTTGTCAAGATGAATTTGGTTAAATGGAACGAGCCATTTTTAAGGATAATTTTAAAATGATGTTATGTAAAAATTAAAGTAGTTTATATTTAAAAATTAAAGTAGTTTATATTTAATATTTTGACTTGAATTGATTAAGTAGTAGCTGCTTTCTACACAACTTCAAATTGGTACTAAGACTTCAGTTGTCAGAGAACATTGAGATCAAACTAAAATTACGAGTATTTTAAATTTTTCCTCTCTTCTACTTTCTATTTCTCATTGCATCACCTTCGCTTGGTAAATTAGTGCCCGTTTGGTAGGACTTTTCAAAAGCAACTTTTGAAATTAAGAAGATACTTTTGTGCATATTTAGAAGTATTTTGTCTTATTAGAACAATTTTTAAAGAAAGTTGACTCAAAATGAATTCTTTACAAAGTTCTTCTATCAAAAGTAGAAACAAAAATCCTGCTAAACGAGCCTTATTCCAACAAGCATATCTCAAGTAGCCTTGGAACTATAGGGACAAATGTTCAAATCCTGCCAAAAAATATCTTTCAAATTTACAAATCCCCTTCTTATAAAGATGTCAATTCTTTAAAGGATGCATTTTATTTAAAAATTTGTTAATAATATTAATCTCAAAAAAATCATATTAGATTTCTCAAAAAATAAATTAAATTTCAAAAAATTGAAGAACAATTACAAAAATTTTCAACAAAAGAAAAGATTCCAAATTTCCAAAAGCAAATTGAAAAGAAAATTTGTTCTACCATTCACTAAGTTGTCAACAAGGTAACAACAATTCAATAATTTGCTGACTAGGCAAAAGCAATGAGACTTCCAACAACGGATATTGAAAAACTCAACTTATTCTCCTATTGGGATATTCATTAAATGGAGGTCAATGGATTGGTTGAGTTCGTAGATGACGGTAGCGGTGAATTGACTTAATGATGCTTAATGTTTTGATTGGTGTTTTGTTGATGAAGTGACTTAAAAATACTTGACGCTAAATGGAGAAAGTGGAGGGATGGTGGTTGTGTCACCTTTTTTTTCCTATCATTTTATTAAATTGATTCCAATGTTTTAATTTGTGCTGTCACTTTTTTGAGTGTTTATAACTTTTTTGAATTTTTGTCACTTTTTTTGAATTTCTGTTACTTTTTTAATCTTCATCACTTTTTTCTGTCACTTTTTTTAATAGTGATACTTAACTTTAAGAAATCATATTACGTTACTTTTTTAATAAAAAACAGGACATCGTACCACTTAATTTTACACAATATTTTCACTTCTTGTTCATGACAAACATCACTTTAACAAAAGTGATTTGTAAAAAAAGGACACTCAACTTAAAAAAGTGACATCATGTTACTTTTTTATTTACTTAATTTTATACTATTTTTATTTTCAGAATACTTTTCATATGATTTTTCAAACACCCCTAACTTAAAGGATATTTTTGTAAGTTGACATTATTTGATTCGTTCTGTCCAATCCATTATTAGTTTGGACTTTTTCACTAAAGGCTTGGAGTAACTTCTCGAAATATATAAAAGTGAAAATTACATAGAAATGTGGTTTTTAACTTCCATTTCGATAATCAAGTACAAAGATTTTTTTGTTTCTTTTTTATTTTTTTCAAAAAGTAGGTGCACCCCATCCCATACACACCCACACTACACCAAAAAATTTGTGAGCATCTACTCTCTCTCTGTGTCTACATATACAATCGCCTACTCTCTCTTTTTCTTCATCTAAAGATTTGGGTGTTGCCACCACCAACTCTGGCTAAGGCCAGTGTCACCAAAAATGGGGTCACAACAGCCCACGCTCCACCTTGGTAAATATCTCTTCCACTTCATTCTTTTTCCCTTGTAATGGCGAAGAAGCTTAAAGGTGGCGGTGGTGCAATGGATGTTATGGCACACTAATGGCTATGCGGTGGTAGGTTGCAATGTACAGATCTATATGGTGGTGGTGCGATGGATGTACAAATTTGCGTGGTGGTGGTGAGATGTACAGATCTGCATGGTAGTAGTGTGGTGGTGGTGGTAATGCCAGGGGCGGAACCAACTCATGCCCAGTGCAAGCAGAGGCATCTGCCTGCATTGGACTTTGAGCCAGCCCCATTGGATATATATTTTGGAGCACTAGAAATGTCCGTGGCCTCTAATTCATTTGCTCACCAGAAATATCGAATGGAGAAGATGGGCCAAATTATAAGTTATTTAATTTTTAGTATAATGTTTTGTTATAATGTTGTTATTTTTTCGCTTTTAATAACATCGTCTGCACTGAAAAAATTTTATAGGTCCGGCCTAGGTATTGCAAAGGTGAGGATAACGATAGCAGTCGCGCTTGGGAACAGATCTACACGGTGGTGGTGGTGGTGGTGGTGGTGGTCAGGGGCGGAGCCACCTTAAGTCCAACGAAGGCACATGCCTGCACTGAGCTTTGGGCTGCCACTGGAGAGTAGGAAGTTCCAATTGTCCATGAGCAGCAAAATTGGACAAAACATGAATGGTTGGAGACTAAAGGACAAAAGGAAACCAAACTGAAGGACTTGGAGCCCAATGCACATGTTCATAGGATTGTGCACTAGATGTAGTGTAGTACAAGAAGCATAAATGTTCCTGACCTAGGAGGTCCCATCTGATTTGGATTTTGGATGTCCTACTTCTCTGAGTGGCATTTCTTTTGTTAAGTTTTTTTTTTTTTCTCAACTGGCCCTATATTTTATTTTACATTTTGAAAGTAAAGCTGGTCATTAATTATTATGTTCTTATGGATCTAATATTGCTGTCGTCGCTTTAAGTTGATTGGCTAGGTACAAAATGCTCAAGAATTACAATACCTAAATGCAATTACTGCTAGCTAGTTTTGTGATAACATGCTTGCTCTGCTTTACATTATCGTATCAGGTCGGCATGGAGCTAAATAATATCGTCTAAAATTTTAGACGATTAAAAATTGAATAAAGTTTTTGTTATGAATTAATAGAAGTAGTGTTATCTATAAACAATGATGATGAATATGCAAGGAACAAATGTAACTTAAAAACTAACTTATTTTTTTGTACTTTTACCATCATTAAATCCATGGTCGAACTTTACTTGAAATTGAATATTTCATTTTGTTTATTGTTTTATTCTTTGAGTTACAAATTAATTAAGAAAAATCGAATGCATATTGCATACAATAATACAAGGATCCAAATTTAAAGTTTGTCTTAGATCCCGAAAACCCAAAATCCAACCTTAATTAATTTTTTTGCCCGCATTGGATAATTTTCCTGGCTCCACCCCTGGTGGTGGTGAGGTGGATTTATAGATTTGCGTGGTGGTTAGGGGGTCGTGGTGGTGGCGGAGATAGTGAGGTGGTAGCGACATTTAATTGGTGCTGATGGGAGAGGGTGGGACCAAATTATTTGAGTAATTGTAACTAACACAATGAGTAATTTGTGACCAATAAAAAATATGAAATAAAAATAATATGTAATTCATTTGTTATTGTGATCTTATTTTTTTAATTAATTAATAAACCATAAAAATTTAAGAAACGGACCACCTAATATTCGAAAGAATTTTATAAGTTTCTTACATTTGAGCGTGCATCTTGAAACTATGATAATTATATTTTTTTTGCTATATAAAATCACATAACTAATTTTATTTCAATTCCCTACAATTAAATCCTATTGGTTTGCTATCTTAACACATTACCCTTCCGAACCATAAATAATTTAGTATTGAACTAATAGACCATTTTGTCCCTATTAATTATTTTCTCACTTAAAGCTAACATTTTCTCCAACAGTTTCTCTCCATTTTATTTTTTATTTTTTAATCAAATCACGGTAACAATTTTCTCGTTATTGAATATTAAGCTCAAATTATAAAAATTATAATAAGAAAATAAAAAAAATTATAATAACAATTATAGAAAGCCTAATACTTTTGAATATATATCCCAGTCATTGGACTTCCTTCCCCTGTATTAGTAGCTCGTGCAAGCTGCCCAACGATGTAAAGGCAAGAGAATCTCATTCCTTTTTACCTTTGTCACCCATATGGAAAATATTTGGGCACAAAAAGGCATCTTGTCTACTTATTGTGACATAGGATTAATAAGCTCGTGAGCTTGGTTCTTTAAAACATAAAAATGGAAATCCTAATGTAGAATAATAAGCTCATGAGCTTGATTTTGTAAAAATCATTCATATAAACAAATAAACTATAAGATTCAATTCTGAGAATCGATGTATGTCACTATAGATGTGTAGCAGCTATATGCCTTGCATTTAGTACAAAATTGATATCATTTCTTCCTTACACGATTAGATATATTATACCTTTTCACAAATATTTGTTATGATTAAGTCTATGTGAAGTTAAGTTTTGAGTTTTGATGGATGTACAGAACCATTTTAACAGAAGTTTTCCAAATCCCTTACATGCGGGATCCACCTCATTAAAAAATGACTCCAAAAATTCCCACCCAGCCCCGCCCCACCCCACCCCGCCCATGTTTGTGTGTGTTCTGTAGGGGTTCTGTACCTAGTACCCAAGCATGGCTGTTAAATTTTACTTGAATGTATGTCTTTTACGAGATTAAAAAAAAAAAAAAAAAAAATTGATCCTACACAACTGGACAAATTCACTCTCACTAGCCATACAAGCATGAATGTATGTTCAAACAGGGTTTTGAATCAGCTGATTTATCAGAATTTGAAAAAGAAAAGAAAAGGTCAAGTAGAAATAAGTGAATAATGATTAGAAAAGAATCAAGGGGTCTGCACATTGGAGTCCTTGGATTTATTCTCTTCTGAAGATGGTCGATTCTCTGAGTCGGATAGTCGGACTTCTTCGATCATTTTAATGACTTCGTCCATGTTTGGTCGCATGTCCGGAACCTTTGCAACACATGCCATGGCGATTTGCAGCATCTGCACCATCTCTTCTTCGGAGTTTTGGAACCTCATTAACTCAACGTCGAAAACTTCAGCCGTCCATTCTTCCCTGACAACTGACTGAACCCATCTCGGAAGATCGACAATATCATCTCGTCCCGGTGATTGAATAGGTTGTTTTCCAGTAAGCATTTCAAGTAGTACGACACCAAAGCTATACACATCTGATTTGTGAGTATGTTTCCGAGTTTCGATTACCTCAGGAGCACGGTATCCTGCCTGTCGAGATGAAGTGGCAGGAGTGTTCATGAGAGGGGCTAACCCGAGATCAGATACACAACCATCTAGATCTTGATTCACGAGGACGTTCGATGCCTTGATGTTTCCATGAGTAAATTTAGCACCACCTGCAGAATGGGTATGAGCAATGCCCCTTGCTGCTCCTAGGGATATTTTGACTCTTGTAGCCCAATCTAGAGGTGTTTTCCCGGCGACCTTGTTTCCTGTTGAAACGAAATTGAGCAAATATAAGTGAAAAAAGATTTGTTGTTCCATCCACAGAGCAGAGCAAGAATCAAAAGTACGACCTACGAAAATGGATGATAGATAAATTTGCTTGCTTCCGAGTTTCGAATTTGTTGTCTTTCTAAAGGACATATATCAAATTCTATTGATCTAACGCATTTAAAAAATGAATGATTCTCGTCCCGCCTAATATAATAAGAAGTTCCAAACTTACACTACAGAGAAATTATTTCTAAAATACAATCAACTTGTGAAATAGAATTTTGTCACACGAGTAAGATAATTATGATTTATGGTTTTACTTTTTACATTCAACCACCAAAGTAATGCTGCATTTGAAGTTTAATCTCAGTTTTCCCATTGTCTTCCAATGATTTTTTACATGTTTTACACTTGACATTTTTTTCCTGTTTCTCTTCTTGTCTGTAATATTGTTGACACGTGATGATCATATTTTTATTCGACTGTTCAATATCGGTGTAATTGAACAGTTCACTAACAGAAACTCTCGTCTTCTAGAGTAATAAACATGTTAAAAGAAACGCAAGAAAAACCAAGAAAGGCAGAAGAAACGAAAGGAACGAGGGAGAATATTGCATACCGTGCAAGAGAGTTGCCAGGCTGCCATTTGAAAAATAGTCATAGACTAGGAGCTTCTCATCCTTGGAGTAGTAATAAGCCCGTAAAGGTACAACATTGGGATGCCGGCCCACACTCCCGATTATTTCCATCTGCTGTTCGAAGTCCTTCTTCCCCACAATTACCTCTTTCAACCTTTTCACGACCACTGTTGTCGCCTCCTCTAAGACTGCCTTATATGCTGTCCCAAAACTACCCTTTCCAAGGACTTCAGCAGAGGCCCGTAACAAGTCCTCGAGATCAAAGTTGAAAGAACAGCCCTCAAAGAATATCAACTTGTTCTTCTCGGGTTCTTGCACCCCACTGCCAAACTCCTCGCTTGGTTTTTCTCGACTCCCACCACGAGAAGGCTTAACTTTTGGCACCGGACTGTCCTCACTTTGCTTTCTCTTAAAGTAGCGCAGGAATAAAACTAGTGCTAAAAGAAATAGCACTACAGTCCCTCCAACTGCAATAGCAATAATAGCTCCTAAAGCAAGTTTTTTCTTAGAACTTCGCTTCTGAGGGACATTTGAGGGAGGTGAAAAAATGCTCGGGGAAGAAGCAGGCGGAAGAGAAGGTGAACAAGAATCTAGTGGTGGCCCACATAAGGAATTACCAGTGAATGAAGAATTTGGGAACTTCTGTAGAGACGAAGGAATAGAGCCATTAAGATGGTTGTTGCTTATGTTCAAACGTTTGAGTTGTGGGGATAGATTGGGAGTTGATCCAGAAAGAGAATTGTTCTGAAGGCTCAAAGTAGTAAGTTGAGTCAAATTCTGAATTGTTTGTGGAATTTTTCCCTGAAATGAATTGAATGAGAGATCCAAGACAGTAAGTTGAGGGGGAAAGGTTGCTGGAATATCACCAGAGAAGTTATTATGTTGGAGGAAGAGCAAACGGAGAGAGGGAAGTGATAGAATATCACGAGGCAGATTACCGCTAAGGAGATTGGAGCGAAGACTGAGAATCCTCAAAGCATCCAACTTTCCGAGGGTGTTGGCCGGAATTGGACCTGCAAGTCCAATGCCAGGAAGTCGCAGATTAATCACATTGTTATAACCCGGGGTACAAGTGACTCCAATCCAAGAATTGCAGACTGGGGTAGCAGGATTCCAGTCAAGCCTCCTACCATGTGGCACAGCAGCAGCAAATGCTAGAAGGGCTTGTTTATCGGAGTTCAAGTCACTGAGTGCAAGAGGAAAAAGACTCAAGGTGACAAAGAAGAAAGGAAGAAATGTATGGTTAGAGCAGAGTTTCATGACGCAATCCACTGGGACATGAATGTAAAATTGCTGCAGGTACCGCAGTTACTCTGAAGGAATTACAGAGAACAAAACATCGTTAGACTATCCAAACACAAATGTGGTACCAAACGACAATAATAAAACAAAGGTAAATCATGGAGTATTAATTTTAAAAACGTGGAACAGCAATGGCTCGGATAAGTATTCACAAAAAGCACGAAATAGAAGCAAAACTTCTGCAGGTAGAATAACATCCAGTTACACGCAAATGAAAACGACATTTTAGTTTATAGAACTGAAAATCTCTTCAAATTTCAAAAGCAAAAGTAAGGAAATATGAAGACAATGTAGAAACGGATCAGTACCACAGAATCCCTTAATCACAAAAATAAAATAAATAATAATAATACAATTAAAAAAAATAAAAATCAATGATTTTCATGCTATTTTGAAATGAGCAGCAGATTTCATAAGCTTTTGGTTTCAAACTGGAAGCATCTACACCTATTTTTGAATCTATCCATCAGAAGTCTCAGAAAACCAAAATGACTATCAAATTATATCATATTATTACCAACAAAGAATCTTGTTCCTTCAGAAAGGCACTTGGACATTTTTCTTCCAATCAAAATTTAAGCATTTTCCACAGCAGCTGATAATTCATTCTTATGGATTTGAAATGATTCTAGATTAAAAAATGCAATTGGGCAATTAAAAATATGCCACCAGAGCTGAAAAATGGATTTTCAAGGTTCCAACAGTAAGAATTTGAAAATTGAAACATAATACATGAATTTTTAAAATCAAGTCCTCTCTCCTATTTCCACACAAAAAAAATAAATAAAGCACGTTGACACTTGATCACCATTATCTGAAAATAGTGTTTTTTTTTTTTTTTTGGGAAAAAGAATAAGGTAATAAAGGCATCATGGAAAAAGGAAAGTGCAAAGGTATGGAACCTTTCTCTATAAAATCTTCAAGTACAGTAAAGCAATCAAAAATGCTTATTTTACAAGGAAGTAGATTAAAAGTTGCAGCCAGCGTTATAGCATACAGCTCAGACTTAATAATTATACATTTTTTAGCTGCAGAAGTTTGTTATTAATTAGCCGAAAATCTTATTTCCTAAAAATACAAAATTCAACCCTTGATGCCAACTTGATGAAAAATTCGGAGGAAAAAAGAAGAAGGCTTTCTTTGATTTGTTGAAAATATAAAAATTTGATGCCGGATGCTAAATTAGTAGAAAATAAAAAAATAAAAACATCAGAACAACGAAACATTTTCACTTTCATGGTAAAGTGAAAATGGAATTTTGGGTAGTTGAGAAGCTGTTAAGGATTCACTACATTTACATTATTTCACAGTATCTAAGAACCCTGAACTCGCATAATCAGCATTCATTAGAATGTAAAATTCCCACCAGTACAATCTTGTTCAACAAAAGCAATAAATATGTGCTCAGACTTTTGTGCAAAAGAAAAAAAGAATCTACAGCCTCTGCAAAATGTACAAACTTAACACACTCAGATCTGCCGTTAACATTCTTGTACTTGAATCTCAGTTAAATCGAAAAAGCAAAAAAAGAAGAAACGCAAACATCGGCCAAAAAAGAAAAGAAACACGTTTGAAGGGCAAAACTGTGAGAAACATAAATCACCTCGAAACATTCTGAGAATCCCAGAAAGGTTTTGTTCTCTTTTTCGGAAAATTTCTTGGTTTTGTACGGATTTTGTCAATAATGCTGAACTTGAGAGGCGAAACCTCAGATTGTTGCAATGTTGAAACTGCATTAACCGGAGGCATTGGAACTAGAGGGTTTTAAAGGACTCAAACTGTGTTGCAACAGCATTAAAAACACCATTCTTTAGTCAAAGATTCACGCAATGGGAATTCAATTTACAGATCCAGAAGAAAAAATGAAGACAGCAGTGATTATGAGCTGGAAAAGAAAGAATTGAGAGAGAAAGTCAGTTGCGTCAATTTACTCAACTACCGACTGACACTGAGAAGGAGTGTCTGAGAGAGAGAGAGAGGATAACGAGAGCATAATGCTGTTCATTTCTTAACAGACAGAGAGAGCGTAACGTTAACGATGGCCCTCGTGAACCGTACTGTAGACTCAGTTCATTTTAAAAAGTCTAAAAAAAAAAAAAAAAGGGCTTTTGACACTCAAAAATTATTTTTAGATTTATTTGATTAATTCTATGGAAATGTTTTTTTAATTAGATCTTTTAGAAGAACTAATCTAATGTGGCATCATTTAAAAACATTTTTGAAATAAAAAACTTTTATTAAAAATTAGTTTTTAAATAAAAAAATAAGGTAATTTCTTTTGAAAGCTCTTCTATAAAAAAAAAAAAAAGTCATATCAAACAAGAAAATGAGTAATGTTATTCATCACAATTTATGTTAAGTATCAGTTTAAGTGACAATTACATGATATCAAATAATAGATTCATTTAAATATAAAGTCGCATTATTTAAAAAACTTTGGTTTCAATCTAATTTGGATAACATTGTGTTTGGAAATCCAAAGAGAATAAAAATAAATAAAATAATTAAAAACATTTTCATTTAAAATTGATTGTTAGAATTTGGGAGTTAGATATATTTGCACTTTTTTTCCTTCTAGTTTCCTTTTATCAATGAGGACTAGTACATGAATTTATTCACTTCCATTCTTGGTTTTAAAAAAATTATTAGTTGTCTATATTTAGAGCATGTTTGGCTAAGTTTAATAGATTTACTTATATGTAAATTTAGGAATACAAAGACAAATTACTATAAATTCGCCAAAATCCATAATTTTGTTATAAACTAAAGAGATAAGATCAAAGAAGTCAATAAACTTGTATGTTTTATTCAAAATAAAAGTCTTATATTTATATGAAAAAATTATGATTACAAGGAATACTCAGTTACGATGATTGAGAGTACAAGGATATAAAAGTCATTTAAAAAAGTACGTTATCTTCAATAAATATATTTTTCTTTTAAGTTTTTTAACCAATAAGGTAAGGACTTGTGTAAGTCAAATTATGACAAGAAAATTCTTTATATGTAAGTCTACTCAATTGACATTTTGAGTCAAAAGCATTGGATCCTTCCAATAGTCAACTACGCTCTCTTTTTTCTTATGAGTCCCTTTCTCTCTTGTGGTAGAAGGACATCATTATTCATTATATCATATTTTAAAGAATTAATAAATATGGAAAAGTTGGAATCAGAAGTATATATATACAATAGTTCGAGTTGAACAATAGTTTCTTTTTCAGTCCTGAGGATATATTGTCAATGCAGTTTTTTCTTGTTGTAATAATTTTTATTGTATTGAAAGTGCTTAATGTTTTTTTAAAAAAAAAAAAAAATCTCATTATCACACTACATTTCAAACATTTTTGTCGCTTTCATTAACTAGTACATTTTGTTATTGATGACGAATTCAATCCAAAAGTTCAAGTTATAAAAGACATATTTTTTTGCCCTTTTTTAATCTTATAAAAATAACAATTATAAAAGTGCAACATGATATATATCCCTCTTTTCTATACTAAATGTTAAATTAGTAAATTAGCGAAATACTTTAGACCCAAATGCGGAATTAAAATAATAACAAGCAACACTTCCCTTATTAATGTCTCTAGATGATTATGTTTAATTAATCAAATTAAACCTATGTGTCAATCAAGTAATTTAAACAACTGAATTAAAAGCAATAAAAATAAATTAAAGAACACCAAGAATTGATGATGGAGGAAAACCCTTTTATAAGAATTGTTCACGGGAATCAAAAACCTCCGGGCAAACTTTGTCAAAACGATCCATTAAAAAAGTTAATTTACAGTTAGCTCAGACACCGTTAAACGTTAACTGACCCTGAATATCTAACTTGTAAATCACCAAGGAACTCTTTTAGTTGTTCACGCTCGCATTTCTCAGAACTTTAGGTCACTTTTCTCTCCATTGGATCACCAAGAACGAATTTCGTTCCAGAGCGCTGGAACTCCAAACGCTTCTTTCCAAATTTCAGAACCTTGAAGGATTATAGGCGAAGGTAGGATTTTGTTTTGTGTTTGATCAAATATCTTTTTATGTTTTGATCTATTGATTGGGGCAAGAGATATTGGAATATGAATTAGTTCTTCAAAGATTATTCTCTTGATTAAATAAAAGGCCCAATTAATATTGGAACAATATTCGGGATGAATATGAACAATTGACAATGTGATTAAATCAAGAGATCAATGAAAGATGTTTTGGATCTTAAATAATGTTATCTTTACGATGAAATAATGATTCAACATGCCTTTGGATGCTCCTATGATTGTATATTTATAGTGGTTAGTGTTTGGGGTGAAATATGATTGAAAAATAGTTGTTTTGTGTAAATTTTAAAAGTTGATGGCCAATTCGCCGCTCGAGAGACAACCTTCCTGTTTTGAGTGCTCAAGCCCTCAGTACGCGATCAGTGAGCGTTCTTCTTTCATTTTCTTGATTTTCTTAAATTTCTTAACTCTTTTGGACTTATTGAGAAGATGCCTCAATATGAACACCCTCTTTGGGAGGGATGTACGAAATAAAAATCCAACCCCTCACGACTCTATGATGAAAATGATGAGGAGTCAGATTATAAATGAAGAGTTGATCGACCATCGTAACTGGACCTCTATGGGACTTCAACCACCTTAGAGTCAAAGGTGAGGCCCTTTCTCACACCTAGTAAATCAACAGTGGTCCCAAGCAAGCCACACAATTGTCTCGATATCGGACCAAGCATTAGCTATCGCCACTTTAAATGAGGTACCGTCTTTGGCATACGAAGAAGTTGGGCCTAATGCTCAAAGACCTCCAAACAAACCAAGAGGTAGTCGTAAAGGGATAAGCAATAAGCCTAGAAATAGATCGTATTGCACCTATCGTTGAACTTATAACTATGGTATAGATGACTACATGTCCAGGTCTCATCATTTAGAAAATACGGACTTTGCACGAAAAAGAAGAATAACAGCCAAGCTCAACAAAGTTACTCCTAACAGCCAAGCTCAACAAAGTTACTCCCTTTCCAATCATGATCAAGGGCTTCGATGTGATGAGACGAGGTGACATCCTAAGGAGGATTCACCTAAACTAAGGCTAGGACAAAATTAGGCCCAAGAGTGGTCAATGACAAAGGAGAAATCCCCCGTAAATATAGATAATGCCCATACTAGAGAATTGATACGATAATAAGAGGCCCACATGTTGGAGAAAAATCAAGAAACGTATAAAGAATTTATTTCATAAAACCTAAAGATCCACCTATGACAAGCTACTTTGTTAATAGTATCCCTAATGGGATCGAAAATACCACTTCAATAGCATTTACATAAGAATATGCTGTCAGTGTGCACTACCCCACTACGATACGCTAGTGGTAAAGGCTATTGTGACAAGAAACAGCTTGAAGCGCATTTTGGTAGATAATGGAAGATCAATCAACATCTTGTTTGGAGCCACTTATGACAAAATGATGATAGATCATGAGCTTACCCCCATGATTGCTCCTTGTATGGCTTCACAGACGACAGTATTGTCCCTAGAAGAAGGATTGTGTTAGTCGTAAAAATGGGAACGCTCTCTTTGGCAGCTCAACATTTCATGGAATTCCTCATTGTAGATTAGCGGTAGACGTATAATGGAGTGCTGTGACGAACTGCATTGAAAGAATTATGGACAGTCACCTCCATCCACCATTTATGCATAAAGTTTCCTATTGATTAGGACATTCCCACTATTTGAGGTGATCAAATGGGTTCATGGGAGTGCTACTTTAGCTCCTTAAAAAAGTCCAAACTACGGAGCACAAACATGGTTTTGATAGACACTGAAATGCTTGACACACCCGTGGAAGGTCCGATCTTTGAATAAAGGAAAGATGTTGAGATGATAGACGCCTCTGCAACAAGACGACCCTTGAAGAATAGACTGTGGATGAAGGTTTAGACCTCAAATCATGGAGTCGAACTCTCAAGCAACCTTAGTTGAAAAGCTAAAATTATTCCTAGTAGACCCATAGAATCCACAAAAATGCTCTAGGTGGGAAAAGAGTTAGGGTTGGGAGAGAAGCAGAGGCTCAAGAACTTTTTACTCAAAAACTTAGATATATCTTCCTGGAAACATAAAGACATAGTAGGCATTGACCCCAAGTTAGTTGCCACCACCTCAATATCGATCCTAAATTCACTTCCCACAGGCAGAAAAAAGGAAGACGCTAAACCCAAAAAGATACAAAGTCTTAAAGGAAGAAGTGCAAAAGCTGATATCCAATGAGTTCATCAGGGAAGCTAGCTATCCCAAGTGGATATCTAACTCAATTCTAGTTAAGAAGCACAATGGCAAGTCTTTGTACAGAAGAGTAACTCCCCTATTCTGATCATTTACATATGAGGTGAACCATTTCCATGGATGGCTCAAACACTATGTGAGAGGTCTTTACACAAAAGAGCAACCCCCTTGCAAAGAACGTCATCCACATCGGGATAAAAAGGTAACATTCATCTACATAGGCCAACCCTGTACCTACGAGGTGAATATTTTCTTAATGGTTAAATGAGTGGCTTATGGAGGTTTCATTAATGTACAAGGCTATAGTAAATGATTGAAGATGGTTAAATGAGTGGCTTATAGAGTTGTCATTAACGTACAAGGCTATAGTAAATGACAACGATCTTGGCAAGCCCCAGTGATGATATCAAACCCCCTACACTTCAAACGTTCATTCAAGATTATTTACGTCGAGCCCTTATGAAAGTTGCACTAAAAAGATAGCCCATTTCTAACATGAGCTTGTGCCCTAACCTAATAGAAAAATTTTCGACTTGCCAAATCATTATGATACATTTTGTAATTGTCCAGTCCTTAAGATTGTGGAAAACAATCATCTTGGTTTGTTACTTAATTGTTTGAAGTGTTAAGTTAGTTATAGCTCAACTATTGAAAGATGATCGATCAGTTTGCATTATGTGTTGAAAATCCAACAATTACAGAAACGAAGATCAAATAGCGAGATAATAAAAAATTATTTACATACATAAGGC